AGGGAACCACGCTCATCGCGCCCGGTGCCCATGCCGGAGGGGAGAAGGAAGGCAATGCAAAACCATGGGGCTGGCTCTCCGCGGAGCCCTCACAGCGCTCCGCACGCCCTCCGCTGCCCCGGAGCGAGCCCCGGCTCCTGCTGCCCACCTGTCCCCACCCCTCCTCACCGGGGCTCCCCGCGCACTCCGGGACCAGCTCCCGGCGCGGCCCCGCCCGCTGCGGCCCGGGCCGCACGCACGGAGCGCCGGCACCGCGACAGGCCGGGGCCGCTCCCGGAGCCGCCCGAGGCCCTGCGCACTGCCCAGCCCCGCCACGGGGAACAGCGGCGGGCGCTGCCCAGCTGTGCCCCGGCCCGGTACCGTTTGCAGACGGACGCGTCCTCGCACGTTCCGCGCACCGCCTCGTCCGCCTCGTCGGGGCCGCCGGCGGCCGCCATGGAGCGCGCGGGGCCCGGCCGCTGCCGCCGCCGCTGCGGCCCGCCCCCCGCCGCCGCTCATTGGGCAGCCCCCGCCGGAGCTCGGCGGCCATTGGCCCGTGCTCTTATGGATGTGCGCAGCGCCCAATGAGAGCGCGCGCGTGCAGCGCCTCGCCCAGGAAGCGGCGGCGGCGCAAGGCGAGCCGGGAGCCGTAGTCCGGAGCGGGCTTGCGGCTGTCCGGTGTTTAGCGTTCAGGAGCACACATCATCACGGAATATGATTATCTGCAGATGCTTTTATTGAGAGCTCTGGGAATCAGGGTTACAGACCCAAACCTGACTCCGACATGGCTTTCGAGCTGAACGTATTTTATATTCTATCCTTATATAACTTACAAATTATTAAACTTGTATTTTCCTATTGCATACATTGACTTTATTTAAGCATGAGTTTCTCGTGATCTTTCTCAAACCGCTGAGCGCAGTTTCTCATGATTATTCTTACGATTAAACAGCAATTATATTTAATTACTAGCCAATCATCACATCTAACAATTACACCATTTATCACGTACTACCTACACAGGCGCAGTTCTATTTTCCCCAGGGTCTAAGCTTAATTTTCCTTCTGATCCTAAACCCCCATGATTTTAAAACCCTTCGCTCGGTCCGGCCGCCCCTGCTGCGGCGGGAGGAGCCGCGGGGCAGGAGGAGCCGCGCACCGCCCGGGCTGCGGGCGGGACATCCGGGCCGGCAGCCCGGGCGGGAAGGGGCCGGGCCGGAAGCGGCGGGGGCCGGGCCGGGCCGCGCCGGGCTGGGCCGGGGCAGAGCGGCGGGGCCCGGGCAGCCCGGGGCAGCGGCCGCCGCCATGAAGAAGCAGTTCAACCGCATGAAGCAGCTGGCCAACCAGACCGTGGGCAGGTGGGCGCCGCGGCTGGGACGGGGCGCGGGGGCTGCGCTCCGCGGCCGGTCTGGGGCGAAGCCGCGCGGGGAGCGGCGGGTGCGCGGCGGTGAAGGCTCGGTCCGAGCCCGAGCCGCGGCTCTGCTCGCCCGCACGGGGGTCCCGGTGGCCCCGGGCCCCTCCCCGGGCCCCGCGGGGCCGCCCGCATCGGGCGCTGCTCGTCCGCGCCGCGGCGGCTTTCGTTTCCTCTCGGTTACCCTGCTGCGCTCCTCGCTTTCTCTCCCACCTGAGAAGGCTCAGGGAGCGCCTCTCCGGCGCTTCGCTGCCTCCCCGGGGTTTGATTTAACACCGCTCACAGCGGCCCTGTCGGTGCCACAGCCAGCGGTTTCCAGCTGTGCGAGCCTGGAAGGTTTTTAACTCGCTTAGGCAGCGACACATCCGTGCCCAGACAGGGAAGTGCCCTGCAGCTGCAGCTGGCCCCGAGCTCAGCATGCAAATGTCACCGCACTGCTTCTCTAGCAGAAATCAGTGCACAAACTTCCTTCTGCTTTCAGTAGAGATTTCATTTGAAAATCAGTTTTTATGTTGAGAGTGTAAGTTGAAAGTCTGTGCTGATACGATGGTATAAAGTTGTTATCTGAGTTTATGTCTTGGTGGCCTCCTTTCCAAGAAGTCCCTTAGCGGGGTGATTGTTTTCCTTGGAGCCCACGCAGCCCAGGGCAGGTGTGCCAGCTAATAAAGCCCAAGGAGGATATTTTTAATATGTTTGTTTTGCTATTAAAGAAGGAACAACCTCCCAACCGACCTTGTCCTCTGGTTGCCATTTCAGGTGAATCAATGGGTTTTTATGTGGTTGGGGGGATTAGTGGCATTCCCTGTTTGCTCCAAATCCCCAGTGGAATGTGGAGCAGTGCTGAGCAGGATAAACAGCTCGGGGTGCCCCGTGCTGCCAGGGCCGGCTCTCAGGAATGTGGGCAGCGCTGGGCTGGGTGGGGAGCTGGCAGTGACCTTTGGCTGGCTGTGCCATCTGGGCAGGTTCCTCCTCCCCACACCTGTGCCACGGACTCTGTGCTGCCCTGGGCACGCACGGCGTGGGGGAGGCTGCCTTCGCTGGGTGCTGACACTGCTGTCGCTGCTTTTCATTAAAAACCCTTTCAATGGCGCCCAGGCATTTGGTTTTGCAGGTTTGCTACTCATTAATGGGGACTGTTTTAAAAACTCTTTCAATGGCGCCCAGGCATTTGGTTTTGCAGGTTTGCTACTCATTAATGGGGACTGTTTCACGTTGCTCACCTGCTGCTCACATTTCGCGTGCCAGTCAAGCGTTCCTGTGGTCACCAGGGCCTTATTTTGTTTCCCAGGGTAAAACCCCATAGCTGGGGTGGCTTTTAGCAGGTTTCACTTCCAGGTGTCAGGGCTGAGGCTCTCAAATTTAGTTTGAGAAGCAGTGCAGGGCTCATGGAAGGCATGGCAGGCATTCAGCAGGATCTCCCAGGCAGTCGTTCATGTTCTGTTGGGTTGCATTATGTTCTGTTGAGTTGGTGAACTCGTTTGTTAGTTTTTAGCACTGGGATGGAGCAAGTAGATGTGTCCTGCGTCAGGAGAATCCCTGTGGCTGTGTGAGTGCCTGAAGAGGGGATGGCTTAGTGTTCCAGGGCCCTGCAGGGAAGGTGATGCTCCCAGGAGAAGCAGTTTGGGGTCTCTCCATCCCTGGGGCTGGTCCCTGCTGGCTGCTGCAGCTCCTGGTGCTGGGTTTGGAAGGGGTGGCTCCTCCTGCTCTGCTTTTCTCTCACTCAGAGGTTCCTGGGCTGTGGGAGAGCAGCCACGTTCCCCTGAGGTCAGCAGGGCTGGGAGTCCTGGGGTTGTTGCCCTAATAAAGGAAAATAGTTTACCCTTAAAAAACCTTATAGATAAAAAAAATACAGCTTCGTTTTTTAGTTTATTAAAATACTATAAAACTCATGGTTTGTGAAACTATAATGTAGATAAAAACGAATAAACTTCTGAATCCAAACAAAAAATACCATCTCACACATTTAATCCCAACCCTAACAAAAAAAAGATAAAACTACACAACTCCACAAGGAAGTTGTGAAGTCTGAGTGAAAGGAGGAATGACACAGCCAGCTTCCAGGGGTCCCATCCTTGGACCCCAAATATCAGACCTGGCATCAGGGAAGTAACACCTTCCTATGGGAAATAAGAAAGGATGGGCAGGAGCTTTGATGGAGGAATGGCATTTATGAGAAGCCTGTGAGTCCACAGGTAGAATTACATGAGTTATGAAATACATGTAGGAAACTAATTAAAGAGGGGATTAGCTCAGTGGAACAGGATTCCACAATAATTAATAGATGTGTTAAATATTTTTCAGCAATTACCTCATGGATCTTCTTGGCTGCCTTAAGTGTTCAATCTGCTGCTGAGGACTTTATATTTCATATATTGGACAGATTTGTTGTCAGTGCTGCGGAGGGGAGCAGCACAAGCTGTGGGAAACCTAAAAATGAGATATCAGAGCTTGGGCAGGGTGGCTGAGGCACAGCCTGGCACTGGAGGTGGCATGGCAGGGTGATCTCAGGGCAGGCTTAGCTGGAGGAGGAACTGGGAGTCCTGGTGTGTGCTGGTGCTCGTGGCATCCTCCAGGCTCTCACACCCAGTCAGGACAATTCCTAAAAAGCAGGGCTGGGGCCTGCAGGTGAGCAGAGGCATGGCTTGCCAGGCAACCATCAGCTGATGATTTCCTGAGCTGAATTAATGCATGAGCTGAATTAATGCATTGCCATAAAGTGGCACCTTGCCCACAAGAGGCACAGGGCTGATCACCCAGAGCAACGAGCCCAGAGCTGACTTTGTCTTGAGCTACATCCTCAATCCAGCTGCAAACAGCTGGGAAGTTTCAGTTAGGCTGAAAATGTTAGCTGGGGAGAGAGTGGAGAGGAAAGGGAACAAGTTTAATTCTGAACTTCACGAATTTCAGGTGGCCTGTGATTCCTTAGAGGCCACATGCTGGCATTGCTTTTGATGGGATTTCTCTCCTAATTCCTCTAAAGCCTCATCTCTGTGGAGGCCCAGGGCCTGGATCCACTGGAACAGCTGGGCACAGAGCAGCTGTGACTGGTTTAGGATCTGCTGTCTCACAGCTTTGAGGTGACCTTGTTCCTTCTCTTGGGATGCTTCCTGAGCAGATCCTCACTCCAGCAGAGCACCTGAGTGTTAGGCTCAGAAATTTAAGTGATATTATGTTTGATGTCAGCAAAGTATTTCTTCACGTATCTACGAGGGCTTGTCTTGGTTTCCATACCCTTTTATAAATTACAAATGAGACAGATTTGATTAGAAGCTTGGGAATATTCTCCTTTATAGCTACAGTCATCCCTAATGAAAATAAATGTTCGAAGCTATTGTCATCAAAGCTTTGCACTGATACACTAATAAGCATTTGAACTCCATAGCTGAGTAATTTCCATGAGGAATGAGCCCATGGAGAGGTCTGGATCGTGCTGTTTGCTTACAGAGCTCAGGTTGGTAATTAATGACATTTCAGGCTGTGACAATCTCCACGAGCTGGGCTTCCAGCCTCTGGGGACCCGCCTGCTGCTGCCATCAGGTTCTTTCTTCATCCTTTAGGTGCAATCCCTGAGCACCATTCTGATTAAAAATGATTCCAGACAACTGCTGGGGAGGTTTGGGTCTGGTGAAATCACCCAGGATCAGACAGGTGGATTTTCTTACTGCCTTTGCTGGGAGAGATACTCGATCTGCCCTGGGGCTCCTGCAGTAATTTAAACCAGGGACAGGCAGCTCTGACTAATTAGAAATCTGGAAGAGCCCACAGAGTGCCTCAGAAGGCTCTGGTTTTATGTGAGAGGCTGACTTACTGTAGCTCCTGTGCTCATTTCCCACTGCTCAAATACAACTCCTTGTGTACAAATAGGTTTTTCCAGGCCCTGTACTCATGGCATTGCTGTGACTCACCAGGAGTTTTGGAACATGGCTTTTAATAGCTCATGTCCTGCATAAAAGTTACTGTGCTGAGCTATATTTAGTGTTTCTTCAAGCCACTTGGCAATGTTCGAGTCTTGAGTTGGAATTGGAGCTATAACATAATTATTACATTAAAGCAAGTTATGTTAAAATGCCTGATATCGAATTATTGTACAAGGGGGAGCTGCCTGCATTTATCTGTGCATGGAAAACCTGCTGGAAAGCAATAATTTCTAGTAATACTTCATGGAAAATGTGGATGGTCTAAATTATTCCTTTTTTTTCCTTGCTAAAGCATTATCCATTGATTCTTGTCTTTCCCAGGATTGCTCTGCCTATTATTACTTGAGGGAAGTTGTTCTGCTTCTTCATGTTGTGTTGGTAGTACTTTGAAACTCACTTTTTCAAGTGTCCAGGGTGGTAAAACAAGAGTGTGTCCATCTCTCTCAATACTTCCATCAGCATAACATTAACCCCACAGTGCCATTTAATAGAAAAGAATTTCTTCTTTAATGTTTTTCTGGTTTCGTGTGGGAGGAAAAAAATTGAAGATGACCCCAGTAGTTGAAAATTTCTGGCTCACCCAAACATCCTTTAATAGAAGTTAAATCTGCTGAGTGTTATTTACTTGCACTACTTGTTGTGTTTGGCAGAGATATTTGAAGAAGTGGTAAACAGGGTTGAAATATTTCATATTTACGGGGAGTTTGCAGGTTGGCATTTGTCCCCATCGGAGTGCTCATGAAACGAAAAACTCATTTCAGTGTTTATAATCGTTATCTTAAGCATTTCCTGTTTATCTCCAAATGAAGTTCCAGGTCTCTAATTAGGAAATTGAATTAGATCTTTCTGGATGGCAGCTGAATCCAATGATGGGTTTGAAGGAGTCTGAGTGGATTTAATTAGGGGGCTGCTGCTCCTGAGCAGGGTTTGGGGCTGCAGGCCAGCCCTGGTGGGAGTAGAGTGTGAGGAATGACAGCCCAGGGCTCGCTGCTGGAATGAACACCTGGGGATGGGGCTGTGGCACAGGCAG